GGTCACGATGTGCTTACCGGTGTTGGGCAACCTACTTGGAAAATGTAGCAAGCTAAGCTACAGCATGACTTTAATGCTGTCGTGCTGAAACAGCCCCATCATAATCATGTCGTCTTCCCACAGTATAAGCCTGATGTCCGACAGTACTAAATGTCCGTGCGAAACAGTGTGCTACACAGTTATGTGGATTAAACAAAGCTTGCAAAGAATTTGCGTTGATTCATTTTAGTAGTCGATTTAATCGATGAATCGTTTCAGCCCTAGTAAGACAATATTTTAAGAAAGTTTCATGACTAAGTCAACATAACCTTTTTTCATCACAGTGGTGGAAATGAGTTTCGATTAGGGCTGGACAATAAAACAATAATACTTATCGCAATATAATGTTTTTCAATAACAATATAACAAATGTTCAATAAATATTCAATAAATGTTTGGTGTTATTCACTTGAATCTATACACAAAATAGCTTTTCTTAATTTACACATGCATATTTGTTGACAAAGAATTTATCATAATTGTTTTGAATGTTCTGCCTCAGATTTGTGAAGTGATTCACTGTTTGGCATCAAGTGTTGACCATAAAGATGAGTTTAAACCACAATTGACCATCAGGTTTCTTCAACTTTCACTAAGGTGCATAAATCAGTCTTTAAACTCGAAAGAAATAACGATTTGATTCTTAATGTCATAATTATCGATACCAAAGGCTATGAAATGTTTTATCGTGATATCAGCTATAGCCATATCATCCAGCCCTAGCTTCGATATATTATTTTAGTAACACAAAAGAGAGAAATTTGATTTATAAAATCCAAAGTGTTTAATATGTATACTGGTACTCATTACATTACATTTATTCATTATGCTGATGCTTTTATCCAAAGTGACTTACAATTGCTAAATATGTCAGAGGTCGCACGCCTCTGGAGCAACAAGGGGTTAAGTGTCTTGCTCAGGGACACATCACACCAAAGGCAAGTGTCTTATCCCCTGCGCCATCACCACCCCCATATTCATACTCATTTCCTCACGTGTCTGCATTTCTTTCTTTACCATCACAGTAGTAACGTGAGCCTGTTCCTTTTTGTTCTCTGTCCCTCCAGAGCTCCCACAGCAACATGTCTGTAAGGAGGAGGAGGTTCTGGCTGGTCTGGACCAGGAGGACCCACAGCCTCCACAGGATAAAGAGGAACAGGAGGAACTCTGGAAGGCTTGAAACTCCACATGAGAACCCACACAGGTGAGAAGCAGTATTCTTGTGAAATATGTGGGAAAGACTTTATAACCAGCAATCAATTGCAAATCCATACAAGAACCCACACAGGTGAGAAGCCGTATTCTTGTGAAAAATGTGGGAAATCTTTTACCAGGAGGAGTTACTTGAAACTACATATGAGAACCCACACAGGTGCGAAGCTGTACCTTTCAAGACCTGCGGTAAAACATTCTGTTATCCTTCAGCATATAAAACCCATAGGAGAACCCACACTAGTGAGAAGCTGTAGCTAAGTGAGACCTACGGGACAAGATTCAGTGACACTTGAGCTTTTAAAAAACATATGAGAACCCACACTAGTGAGAAGCTGTAGCTATGTGAGACCTACAGGACAAGATTCAGTGACAAAAACATGTGAGAAGCCGTATTCTTGTGGAACATGTGGGAAAGTGTTCTGAGTTGGTGGTCAATTGAAAATTCCAATTCCATCCATCAGTTAGGGTTGTACTCACTTCCCCCCCAGCGGTTTAGACATTAATGGCTGTGTGATGTGTTATTTTGAGGGGACAGCAAATTTACACTGTTATACAAGCTGTACACTCATTACTTTACATTGTAGCAAAGTGACATTTCTTCAGTGTTGTCACATGAAATATAATAAAATATTTACAAAAATGTGAGGGGTGTAAAATTTTGATCGTTTGGTTTTCCATTTGAACCGCAAAACAATGTCAAGGCACACCCCCTTTTAATTGTAAATAATGTAATCATTATAATAATTGTAGCCTATTAGTCTACTTTGTCATTTGTGTTTAGTAAACTTCTACCTTGGTTGAATAAGTTAGAGACCTGTATACTGAAATGTGTCAGTCTAAGTTGATGATAAATGATATGTGCCTTGATTTGGAACCAGCATTATTAGAAACTATGATGAACCGGTCGGGTGGGTCACATCTCTCCCCTGCAGTGGTTTAATTATTTTGTGTTTTATTGCGGAATGAGTGTTTTCTTTAATGATTTACTTTCATGATTAGAGAGGCTGCTGTCAGTCATTTAAAACGTTTCCATGCACACCCCTGTGACCACTTTTTTCCGTTTAACCATAGCAAGCGCATTAGACTACTGAATCCCCTCTGTGAGCGTGCATATTATCATGATGGAGAACCCAAATGCCAGTGTGTCAGAGATGAAAAATGGCGAAGGGTCAAATATTTATATACACAGGGCTTAACGCAGTTTCGTTTGGGGCGTGTCCAACTCCAATTTTGCTAGTTTGACGGCAGAAATAATTGTCTTGGCGCTGGGTTCAAAAGAGTCGTACTTAGTCTGTGAATAAGTCATGGGTGTGTAGGGCATAACATGCAATACACCAATCAGTGTCATCTCCATTTTAAAGCCAGGTGCGCTTGTACTTTGACATTTCTATTATAATAGCGTATGAATGGCGCATTATGAAAAAAAAAAAAATTACTGATTGAATTACAGACTCACAGCAGAGAAAATATATGGAAATAGCCTAAGTGTGGACGTGATATAAAAACCACCTCTGATGATGAAGCCTCTGTTGCTTTGTAGTTTATTAAGTGTCGGAACTCCAATCTGTTGACAGACAGACGCTGTCTCCTCTATGAACCGTCTGGATTCTCACTGCGCTGCGTTTATATAAATTATGTTGTGGGTCACATCTCTCCCACACTGGTTTCTTTATTTTGTGTTTTATTGATGTATGAGGTTTTTCTTTAACGATTTACTTTCATGATCAGAGAGGCTGCTGTCGGCCATTTTAAAAGTCATGTGCGCAAGTCACAACAAATACAGTGGGATATGTGAGCAGCAAAAAATAAAAAGACTTAAGTAATTAACTTGACATGACATGACAGGGCAGACGAACTACAATTCAACTTTTAGCTTCTGAAATAATTTAGATGCAGTCATGGAGCTCAGGACTGATCAGGATGACGGCTGCTTTACTCCAAACAGTTTCTCTGTATGAACCTGGACTGTGTGAGAGAGATTTTAACCGACGCAGTTGTCATTTTCAAAGCAAACGCCCATGTTGTTGAAATAGCAAATTGTGCGTCCGTGGGAGTGTTCTTAAAATAAGATGTGGTCACTCAGGCAAATTGTTGGCGCAGTGCTATTTGAAGCAACATAAAGAGACTGTACCACTGACCAAACCGCAAGTCAACGGCACAGTATTTCACCGTTTGTTTCTTTGGTATTTTAGGGGTGCATTACTCCGATGGTAAGATTGACGCAGGAGGCACAGCAACATAACTTAATATTAAAATCTCCTGACATGTGACAGGATCAGTCAGGATCTAATGTTAATTGATGTTCTGTGTTCTTCTCCACATTCAAAAGGTCTCGCACACTGAAACTGTTTGGAGTCAAGCAGCCGTCCTCCTGATCAATCCTGAGCCCCCTCAGAGCGTCTAAATTATTTCAGAAGCTAAAAGTTGAATGCTCTGCCTTCTGGAGAGTTTCCTCTGTCCTGTTTGTTTTTTTGCTTCTCAAATATTCCACGATATTTGTTGTGACTTTATTGTGCATGGAAACGTTTTAAATGACTGACAGCAGCCTCTCTAATCATGAAAGTAAATCATTAAAGAAAAAACTCATTCCGCAATGAAAGAAAAAATAATTAAACTACTGCAGGGGAGAGATGTGACCCACCTGACCGGTTCATCAAAGTTTCTAATAATGCTGGTTCCAAATCAAGGCACATATCATTTATCATCAACTTAGATTGACACATTTCAGTATACAGGTCTCAACCAAGGTACAAGTTTACTAAACACAAATGACAACGTAGGCTAATAGGCTACAATTATTATAGTGATTACATTATTTACAATTAAAAGGGGTTGTGCCTTGACATTCTCTTTAATCATTGACGTGGGAAAAGTATAAAACATAAAAATCAAAAACCAAATGAAATGGACAACAATAGATACATCTACATCAGTAATCTGGATTCAAAACATTTGATAAAGACACAAACCAGTCCTTCATTTAAATCCTGCCACCTGCTGGTAGAAAGGGGAAACAGCTTGGTTCATTATGGTGGAAACCACATTAAATATTAACTTATTAAAAATATAGTGCTGACAGTAACAACTCTGCACACACAGTCATTTCTTAGGTAGTCCAGGTTTATTTAAGTATTCATTTATTTATTTTCATCTAACGTCACCCCGGTATAATGTTAGTGCTGCATAATGTTACAGATCTGATCGTCCCACAAGCTTGGCTTCCATTTTAAAATCTTTACTCTAGACTTTCGGGTCACCCGGCCCACCTGTCTTTCTTTTCTTAATGTCCATCTTATAATGGAGAAATTACAGTAGGATTTTCCAAAAACGAAGGTGGTTTTCTTGTTTGGTTGTTTTGTGGTTCAAATGAATAAACAAACTATCAGAACGTACACCCCTCACATTTTTGTAAATATTTTATTATATTTCATGTGACAACACTGAAGAAATGTCACTTTGCTACAATGTAAAGTAATGAGTGTACAGCTTGTGTAAATTTGCTGTCCCCTCAAAATAACACATCACACAGCCATTAATGTCTAAACCGCTGGGGGAAAAGTGAGTACAACCCCAACTGATAGATGGAATTGGAATTTTCAATTGACCACCAACTCAGAACGCTTTCCCACATGTTCCACAAGAATACGGCTTCTCACATGTTTTTTTAAAAGCTTAAGTGTCACTGAATCTTGTCCTGTAGGTCTCACATAGCTACAGCTTCTCACTAGTGTGGGTTCTCATATGGGTTTTAAAAGCTTAAGTGACACTGAATCTTGTCCCGTAGGTCTCACATAGCTACAGCTTCTTACTAGTGTGGGTTCTCCTATGGGTTTTATATGCTGAAGCATAACAGAATGTTTTCCCGCAGGTCTTGCAAAGGTATGGCTTCTCACCTGTGTGGGCTCTCATGTGTACTGTTAAGTAACTCCTCCTGGTAAAAGATTTCCCACATGTTTTGCAAGAATACGGCTTCTCACCTGTGTGGATTCTCATGTGCACTTTTAAGTAACTCCTCCAGCTAAAAGAATTCCCACATATTTCACAAGAATATGGCTTCTCACCTGTGTGGGTTCTCGTGTGTAGTTTTAAGTAACTCCTCTGGATAAAAGATTTCCCACATATTCCACAAGAATACGGCTTCTCCCCTGTGTGGATTCTCGTATGTTGTTTAAATGCTGTCTTTTCTCTGAATCTTTTCCCACATGTTTTGCAAAGGTACGGCTTCTCACCTGTGTGAATTCTCATGTGGAGTTTCAAGCCTTCCTTCCAGCTAAAAGATTTCCCACATGTTTTGCAAGAATACGGCTTCTCACTTGTGTGAATTCTCATGTGGAGTTTCAAGCCTTCGTTCCGGCTAAAAGATTTCCCACATGTTTTGCAAGAATACAGCTTCTCACCTGTGTGGGTTCTCGTGTGCACTTTTAAGTGACCCCTCTGGCTAAATGATTTCCCACATGTTTCACAAGAAAATGGCTTCTCACCAGTGTGGGTTCCTATATGGAGCTTAAATCTTGAACTGTTACTGAATCTTTTCCCGCAGGTCTTGCAAAGATACTCATCTGTGTGGGTTCTCAGGTGTTTCTGAAATACTAACTTGTACTGAAACTCTTTTCCACATGTGTCACATGTGAAAGACTTTTTACCTGTGTGAGGATCATGGAGAACCTCTGACATGGTAGACTTGTGTACATTGTTTCTGGGGCTTCTCTTGTTGTGATCTTGATTCTTTTGTTTTGGCTCTGCATCTCTAGTTGATCCTGAGTCTTCATGCTCGCCTCCTTTCTGATCTTGGCTCTCAGCTACATGACAGTTGTGAGAGAGGAGCTGGTGGTCACTTTTCAGTTCTGCTTCACTGTGGTCACTTTCCTCATGAGTAGGACTCAACATAAAGGTGTCAGTCTCCTGCTTCACTACAAGCTGCTCTCCCTCCTGACTGGTCCAGAGTTCCTCCTGTTCCTCTTTAACCTGTGGAGGCTGTGGGTCCTCCTGGTCCAGACCAGCCAGAACCTCCTCCTCCTTACAGACATGTTGCTGTGGGAGCTCTGGAGGGACAGAGAACAAAAGGAACAGGCTCACGTTACTACTGTGATGGCAAAGAAAGAAAATGCAGACACGAAAGCAGTATATATTTAAATACACAAAATCCATACTGGTATTCACATAAACCTCTGTTTTGTGTAATTAATATAATGAATGTTTCCTCACCTATCCTGTGTAACTTTATTTCGGGTTTCCAAACGATATCCAGCAGTCTGCGCTGACGATCGATCTCTTTCTCGTACTCGACGATAGTGTTTTTAAAAACTCTGAATATTTCTTCAGCAGCAGCAGTTAGTCGCTCGCTGACAAACTCTCTCAAACTCTCAACTGAACTCATTGTTGCTGAACTACAAATTAAATAATTAGCGACGCTACAGTAACTTCCAGCGAATTCAAAAGTTGCGACCAACGCCGGAGCTTATATTGGTTCACTTCCTTCGGATGTCACACTATTAAGTTCCGACAGCAGAAGTGCGGGAGCTTTTCGTTCCGCTTTCAAATGATAACCTGAAATTCAAAACTTGTGTTTATTATCAGCAGTGATGGACGAAGTACACAAATCCCGCACTTGAGTACCCTGCAAAATATTATCACACTAAAAATAGAAGCTTCAATTTAAATTTCTACTTGAGTCAAAGTAAAAAGAGTACCTGCTTTTAAAAATAGGTATCCAAAGTACAAACTATTATGGTTTTCATCAAAATAGTCAATTAAAGTTCTGTTAATCGCCTAATTATTCAGTTCCTACTTTGTAGAATTTGTTGGTTTTTTAGTTTAATTTATACATTTACATTTATTAATTTAGCTGATGCTTTTATCCAAAGCGACTTATAACTATTGTTTCCTGTCAGTAAAACTGTATCTAAAGCAGCCTGTCAGTCTTTTGAAGTGATTGCACACCATAAATACTGACAAAAACTATGAAACACAAATTGAAAAATGAACATTTATGACAATTAGCCGTCCACATACCACTATCAGTTTACCGGCCATTACTGTGCACTGTGTGTGTGAAACAAAGATCTCAAAGATGTAGAAGACGAAAATGGAATGACATTAACAGACAATTAATTAAACTTGTGTAGCTAACCTACCATTGAACACTTAATTATTTTATTATTTTTTGCCAAAAGGAAGAACACAGCACCTCCCCTTTGTCTTCCCCTAAGAAGGGGGGTGGGGTAGGGGCTTTGTTATCACCCCTCAAGCAGACGGCCTGACTCCAAGCTGAAACACCTTAAAGGAGGTGGGGGTGAAAGGTCTGCCACATCAAAAGCCTTGTTTCCACTCTGAGTGCTGGTTGGGAAGCTTCAACCATAAAACCCACCATCTCCGGTGAAGTTGAGATTACTGACTCTACTCATGACTGTTAAAATGACAATATTAACCTTGTCCAGAGACTAACCTCACTCTAAACCAGGCTGTGAGGACCTCAGCGGCCGTAAACTAAAGGCATAAACTGAGACTCTCATACACATGACAAACAATGCCTCTCTGGGCGGTTGTGGCTCAGGAGCTAGAGTGGGCGTACCGTAAAATTTCTTTGAGTCGTCAAAAAGTAAAGTAAATGCTGAAGTGTCTCTGAATCTTCTCCTGTTGCCAACGGTCAGAGCCATGTTCTCCCAGCTTCACATGCTGCTTCCTGTCCATCAGGAAGTCTGTGATCCACCTGTCGCTCACCTGGTAGACCTTGTCCTGCAGCAGAGCCGGGATGATGGTGTTGAAAGCAGAGCTGAAATCCACAACCAGGATCCTGGCAGAGGTTCATGAAGGGTCCAGCTGTAGTGAGGGGCCATGTTTATTGCATCATCCACAAACTGCAGGTGTCTAGGAGTGAGTCTGTAGTGGAATTGAAGTGGCTCAACACATGGAGCTCAAAAGACTTTATTACCACGGTGGCATTTTGATCCTCAGGTTTTCACATACTGTTTTCAAGAATGTGATTTGAGTAAAACTTTTACCAAGTTTAAGTAAACTTGTAGGGCTGGACCCAAATATTTGATCGCTGGGTATATATTCAATTTTCTATTCTGCGTGCATCTCTTCCACTCTGCCTCCCTCTTGCCCGGCTTAATATCCGATCCCTTTAATCCTGCAATAAATATTCTCCTCTTATCTAACTCCAGTTTCCTCTCTCTCTTAGTCCTGCACTTGGGTCTGCTAGCCTAGCTGTAACAATGTTAAAAATAAAGTTTTGATAATAACTTGCTTTTTAAGTTAAAACAACATGAGAATAAAGAAAAGGAGCACACTCTCTCTTTTTCTATAGCTCTTTCTCTAACACCAACACACTCGCTGTTATCTCATGATGAGGTTTTTCCTTCTCTCATGTCATTTCCAGAACTTTTTGGGCATTCATCCTTGTGCTCTTCTGCTTCTATCTGTGAGATACACAGCTCTAGCTCGTGAAATGACAGCTTGCTTATCAACAGACGTTTAAACAATCGGCGTAACGCTTTGATTATTCACTGGTAAATGACATTGTGGCCAGCCCTACAATTATGCAGCTCTTGCATGTTAGGACCACAAACATCAAGAACTGAATCATCGGACACAAGATTACTTGTCTGTATGCTGTCTTCTGTGCCCTGTCAAATCAGACGCATCAACACTTTTTGTGTAAAGCTACAGCTTCTCCCCGCGAACCGATCCCGGATAAGCGGATGAAGATGGATGGATGGATGGATGGATGGATGGATGGATGGATGGATGGATGGCTACAGCTTCTCACCTGTGTCTCTTATGTGGTTTTTCAATTGACCACTATCTCTGAAAGCTTTCCCACATGTTTCTCAAGAATACGGCTTCTCTCTTGTGTGTGGGTTCCCATATGGAGCTACAAAAAAACGAACCCAGATAGCAAACATTATTGAAACTATGTTGAATCAGCATTCTGCTCTCAATGCTAATTTAATTGAATCAACATCAGACATGATTTATCATCATTTGCATCCTTTTTTAATATTGAAACCACATTGAAATCATAGCTAACTAAAAATCAACGTGACTTCAATGTTATTTCAACCAATATTAAACCACAGAAAACTGACAGTGAAAAATGTATAAATGACAACAGACCATTTAATCAGTTAAAAAATACAAGTTTATTTATGGAATAAAAAAAATTATTCACTACTCCTGTTCTGTCCACCCATCAGGTCTGGAGCATAGGAAGCCACTTTTGTGCTGCCAGGGCAAAGTCAAAGACTTCTGTCCCCATTGGTTCAGTCAGGGCAACTAACAGAAAACATACAAATAAGGGGCATCCTTGCACAGTCTGCACCTGGGGTCCTGCCTGGTGTGGTAGACCCCAGCCTCTATTGATCTTGTACTGCCTGTTCTTGTGCCGCCATGATTAGTGCTTCTGTGCTGTCCTTGATCTTTCTCGTCTTGATGTCAGTAGCCTCTATCTCCTCCTTTGGCCAGTATTATACCAGCGTGGTATCTGATGACTGGCAGGGCGTATGTGTTGATGGCTCGGACCTTGTTTTTCCCATTCAGCTGACTTTTCAGGACATTGCCTCACTCTCTGAAGGTATTTGGCTGTGGTGGACTTCTTTGCTGCCTCCTCATGGTTTCCGTTAGCCTGCGGCACCCCAAGGTATTTGTAGCTGTCCTGAACATCTGCAATGTGGCCTTCTGGTAGTTCAATCCTCTCGGTTCTGATCATCTTCCCTCTTTTTGATACCATGCAACCACACTTGTCCAGTCCATATGACATTCCAATGTCGTTGCTGTAGATCCTGTCAGTGTGGATCAGTGAGTCCATGTCTTGCTCATTTCTGGCATACAGCATGATGTCATCCATGTAGATGAGGTGACTGATGGTTGTTCCACTTCGGAACCGGTATCCGTAGCCAGTCTTTGTGATAATCTGGCTGAGGGGGTTCAGGCCTGTGCAGAACAGCAGCGGGGATAGTGCATCGCCTTGGTATATGCTGCACTTGATGGTGACTTGTGCAATTGGCTTTGAGTTGGCTTCCAGACTTGTTTTCCACAGCCGCATTGAGTTCTTGATGAAGGCTAATAGTGTCCGGATGATCTTGTACATTTCCAAGCATTCCAGTATCCATGTATGTGGCATTGAGTCATAGGCTTTCTTGTAGTCAATCCAGGCGGGGCACAGATTGGTCTGCATCGTCTTGCAGTCTCGAGTGACTGCTCTATCAACCAGTAGCTGGTGCTTGGCTCCCCTGGTATTACTACCCATTCTAACCATTCTGGGTGGGTCCCATCCATCAGCATTTGTGCTGCCAGGCGTTCATGGAGTGAGGTTAGGTTCTTCAGCCAGTAGGTGTGGATCATGTCAGGGCCTGGTGCTGTCCAGCTCTTCATACCTGCCACTCTTTCTTGGATGTCTGCTGTTGTAATGGTTACTGGTTCTGGTTCTGTTCTTAGATCGACTAACCAACATGTGTTATTACCCTGCCACTGAGAGTACACTTTGGATGGTTCGGTGGAGATCATCCGGTTTATTCTCCTGGCTTCTGCTTCTCCCTTGTATCTCTTTAGGCGGGTAGCCAGAGCGGTGTATCGACAGCCTGTTGTATTTCCCTTCCTTGCACCTTTCTGTAGTTCTGAGAGCTGACTAACCTTTCTTGGTGTTGCCTTGATCTTGGCCTCTAGCCTTCTCCTCCATGGGTGGTAATGCTCTTTTTTAATGTTTAATGTTAATCTTATAGCCAAGCATATCTAGGATCACTAGTAGTAAATACAGGCCTGCTTTGCGCGCTCCCGCTTTCTTGGGTTTTTCATATAACAACGCCCGCCATAGGGGCTATAGCACTGCAACAACAAGTCTGAGCCAATGCAACATCGCAACCCCAAATTGAGATTACGAGATCATGTCTGCAGCACGTATTCGCTAATAGTGTAATGATTGCGCCTTAACAAACCGGCTGAATGATCAGCGGTCAGTGGTAGCATTAACTTGTCAGTGCTTTGTCTGGTCACCAGCCCCATCAAATAAAACAGTCCCTTCACTCATGGTTTCAATAGTAAACTGTCATAGGAATGACAATTACCGGCAAAAAACATTATATTCTAACCAGAAACATTTAAGAAAACGTAAATTACAAAGCATCTTTTGTATTTCATACGAATAGAAGGTTTTTCAGTAATTTTTAACAAAGCTCCCATCGCGCTATGACTCACGGGATGTCTGAGGGACGGCCTTTAACGCTGATAGGCTAAGGTCCTCATATTCCGTGTGAAGCCATGAGAAACATACTCACTCTTGTGTTTTGCTGGCAACATCTTGATTATTAGCTAGTAAAGAAAATACTTCAGATGTGGGTGATGCAGAACAGGGGTCTCAATTATAAAAATGTCCCCAGAAACCTCGCTAAAAGTGTACGTGCGTCCAAAAGACAAAATGGCTTACACCAAAAAAAAATATTCAGACTTATAAAACCGTGCATGTGCACCCTTGTAAGCTTGTTCCCTTTATAAA